TATGTTAGATGCTATAAAAATACAAAAGGATTAAGAAAATAACCATAAGGGAGGTGGTTCAAACATACTTAAAACTGTTAAGAATAAAACTAATTTTGTGATTAAACAAGTACAGTCATTCTTCAGTATCCGAGGGGGGATTGGTTCCAGGAACCACCCCCCAACCCTCAGATACCAAAATCCTCAAGTTCCTTATATAAAATGGTGTAGTATTTGCATATAACCTTAACCTGCTAACATCCTCCTCATTAAATCATCTCTAGACTACTCATAATATCTAGTACAATGTAAATGCTATGTATATAGTTGCCAGCAGGCGACAAGTTCAAGTTTTGTTGTTTTGCAACTTCCTGGACTTTTTTCAGATATTTTTGATTCGTGATTGGTTGAATCTGTGGGTGTAGAACCTGCAGATAAGGAGGGCTGACAATAATCCAAAAGTCCAGAGGGTCAGGGAAGGCTAGAATTAAAGTTTTTTTTAGAGGAGTTAGGACTTGAGCTGGAGAGACCTTAGTCAGTAATCCGTTTAAAAAAAAAAAAAAAAAATCCAGGATGGTGTGAAAGGCAGAATGATAAAGGCAAGAATGAGAACAGAGGTTTGGGAGGCAATTAGACCAGTTTGGCTGGATTTTGCAGTGTCAGTTTGGGATTAGATAGGGCCAGGTTTTAGAGGCATCTGAATTAAAGGCTGGCTCATTCTGTGAGGGCAATGGGAAGCCTGGTTCCCAAGCCAGAGAATGACAAAAGCAGAGCAGAGGTGGAGGTGGGAATGGGTGGGAGGGGTGGAGGGTGGTGAAATAGATGAGAGGAATTAAGAGGGACAAACTTCCGATTATAAAATAAGTTACGGGGATATAATGTACAGCATAGGGAATATAGTCACTAAAATTGTAGTAACTTTGTATGGTGACAAGTGATTACCAGACTTACTGTAGTGATTAATTTTAATGTTTATAGATGTCAAACCACTATGTTGTACGCCTGAAACTAATATAATATTGAATGTCAACTATTTCAGTAAAAGAAAAAGGCAGAGCTCCAATCTGGAGATGATGTGGATAGAATCAGGGAAATAAGAGGACTGTTTTAATAAACAGAAAGGGCTAAATTATGGCATATGTGAAACATTTTATAAATTTAATATATTTACTTTAGAAAGTAATGGAGACTACAGCAGCATTGAAAAATGCTTGATTTTTCATTGACTGTAACTATGAAAAGATAAACTTATGGACAAAGACACAGATACCAAAAGAGTTGCCTTAGTGTTTTGGGATGTATGTGTCATTTTTTTCCAAACAAATACATTTGGCAATGGCAGTTATGTGTCCTTAGAACAAAAAAGGAAAAAAAATGCATGCCTCACATACATTGTCTAATATGAACCCCATTATAAGCCTGTGAGATAAAGGCAAACACTGTTATCAGCACTTACAGGTGAGGAGACAACTCTGAAAGATGATTCCCCAGTTATCCACCTAGTAAGTGAGAGAGGAGGAACTCAAAACCAGGTCTTCGTGGGCCAGATAATGTATTGGCAATAATGGGGAAAGTTCTTCATCCCTGCTTTTAGAAATTTGATTCTGTTTCACGTAACCCTTCATACCCTCAATTAGGAAAAGTAAGAACATTAAAATCACATAAGTGTAAACCTAAAATGAAAATTGAGACAGTTAAACAGATATTCTCTCAATACATGCCCTGTATAGATGATATTAGTTGCATTTAGAAAATGTCCCAAATGGAAGTCTGTCATTTGGAATGTTATTGGCCTGAATAGCTTTTAGTAAAGTAAAAATCAAAGGAAACTGTCCGTAGACTTCTAAGTATGCATCACCTAAAGAACTACTGCTCAGGAGGCCACAACAGTGAGAGGCCCGCATAACGCAGAAAAAAAAATAAAATAAAAAAATAATGCTCATATGTGAGAATATTAAAGAACTATGAATTACTATTCAAGCCTGATTCCAACCTGGAAATCTTCTATCCTCACTTTGTCCCTATAAAATGGGACTAGTCTCTCTTTTCTGAACATAGCCTGTTTTCCAGCCTCTGAACATTTGCTCTTGCTATGCCACCTACCTAAAATAGCCTTTTTTCACCTGCACTTGTAAAATTATAGTCATTCTTCAAGATGCACTTAAATTACCTCTTTCAAGAAGTCTTTCAGTCTACTTTTTCCTGCCCCTTGCAGCCTCTCAGCCCATATCCTTTTATAGTATTTATAAACTGTGTAAATTAAAAAAAATTTAGAAAACATTTAATTTATTTATTTGGCCACACCTCGCGGCTTGTGGGATCTTAGTTCCCTGACCAGGCATTGAACCCAGGCCCTAGGCAGTGAGAGCACGGAGGCTTAACCACTGGACCACCAGGGAATTCTCAATAAACTTTATGAATTTTTTAATAAAATGTATAAATTTTGAAGTTCTTTTGTAAGTTCCCTTATTCTTCCTATGAGATTTTTACATTCATTCAAGAGGAAGAAGGGATCTAACATTTACTAGGTAATTACTATGTCAGAAGGTGCCAAGAGTTTCACTGAATAAGTATAATATCAGGTAATAGTATATTAATAATAGGTATTTATAGGGCTAAGCACCACTTTTAGTGCTTTACCTTTGTCAGTTCATTTAATTTTCATAATAACCCTATGTGGCAGTTACTACTATTGTGATCCCATTTTGCAGATGGGGGAATCTGAGGTCTAGAAATTTGGATTAATTTAGCCAAGGTCATAGAGCTAGGATATATTGGAGCCATAATGCAAAGCCAGATATCCTGCCTCTGGAGTCCCTGAAACTTGCCCACTGTTTCGAAGAGCTTCCTTCCATCGAGAGGGAGCCAGGTCTGTCTTGTTGGGTTTATGCCCCAGTCCCTGGGAGCCCTGAGATTCTTTATTCTCCTGCCAACTAGGCTTCCTTGCTTCCTCCTCAAATTGCCCCAGTGCCCTCCTCTCCTCCAGCCCCTCTGTCCTTTCAGTCACTCATCCTGCCCATTAGGGGTCATTAGACCCCTGGAGAGCCCCACTATCCAGATTCCAGCTGCCAGGGGAGGAAGCTGGCTGGGGAGTCTCCAATGCTGGGTCCAAGCTTGGGTCCTATGCTACACTTTAGATCTTCCCTCAAGCTGAGAATAAAAAATTAACTCCTGTTTCTGCTGGAAAGTTCCTGCCCTGCTTGCTACTTTCTACTAGTAGATTCCTGTAAGTCACAGCCCCACTCTCAGCTATTTAAAAAGCCACTAAAACTGGAGTTCTTAGCCTAGGGTACAAGGATCCCCTGAAATTTTATTTAAAAGCATTTTTCTGGGGAAAGGACCCGTAACTTTCAATCGATTTTCAAATAAATTCAGAGTATTTATTAATTCTGACTTTTCAAGTTATTTATTATTTATTTATTGGCCATGCTGCGAGCCTTGCTGGATCTTAGTTCCCTGACCAGGGATCGAACCCAGGCCCCTGGCACGGAAAGCTCGGAGTCCTAGCCACTGGACCACCAGGAAATTCCCTCAAGTTTTCTTTTTCTATTCTAGAGCCAGTGATGCTTTTCAGGATCTCAAATATTTTCATAGGCCTCTGGAAAGCTCACAGGCCCTAGATACTGTGCCTGTAGCCCGTAGCGTGGGAAAAACGAACAGCTCTGCCCGGGTTCCTAACTCACAAAGCTTAGGAAGCACCGCCCTGAAATGTAATTTCCTGACCACCACCAGCTCTGTAATGTACTCTTGCCCCTGGTTGCTTAATCCCCTTCCTTCCTGCTCCTCAGCCTTCCTCTTTCTCCCCCAGCCTTCAGAGTCAGTGTCTCCTTTTGCCCAAACTACGTATGAACCTACAGAATTCTCTTTTCTTTCTTGGATCCTCCAGCTTTTCTCCTGATCCTGAGAGCCTGTCCATTGAGGGTCGAGGGGGACACCAGAGTGGAATATCGCAAGCCCTGGTGGTGCAGGGGCGGGGTTCAAGGGTGCACAAAGGGCTGGAAACTCACAATGAGCCTTTCTCTCCTTGTCTTCCCTTAACCCATACTGAGTATGGCAGAAGCCAGGAATCTTGGGAACGACAGAAATTTGGGATAGGCTGAGCTATGCCACACATTTTTTTTCTTGGAATGATTTCCAAACTAGATCTGATTGTTGCATGGGGCTAACAGTAAAGAACAGAGCCAATAAATGATCTGATCTTAGCATTTTTAAAAACTATGAGATGAAATAAAAAAAGGATACCGATTCAAGGAATAACATAGCTCCCCTCACGACTTTCAAAATAAAACCGAGAAATTATAGAAAATTAAATGTTTTTAAAAATTGCAGTAAATAGCAGAGTTTGTATTCATAAAAGACAGGGTACAAACAGAGATGTGAAAAAGGAGCAGGATCTTTAGGAAACCCCAACTGCAAGGACATAGATTTCCAGTGTTTCTTGACCTGCACACTGGAGGCCATCTCTTTCCTCCGAACAGTCTACATTTGTCTTGGCTCTCTCACGGCACTTACTACTGTCTACCTTGTTTTAGGTTTGTTTTTATGCAAGTTTAATCTCACCCCCTATAAGTACCTTATGCATCTTGGCATCCCTCACAGTATCTACCATGGTTCTGTATAACTCTTATTCGTCTATTTGCTAAAGGCATAAATGAATAGAAGTCAAAATACTATTAGTCTTAAGTGCAACAGATTTGCACCACGAAGAGGTCACTGACTTAAAGGTATACTTTATTGGTCTTATAAATATAGGAATAGAAGGTAGAAATATATCAATACGTCATACATGCTTTATTTTCCTGAAATCATTCTGATATTGAGCTGGCCTATCTACTATCTGGATGTCAGTGTTTCATGTTTATAGCAATCTTATACTTATTTGCATATATACATACTCAGAATTTTCCAAAAACATTAATTTTTTTTTTTTTTTTTTGGCAGTACGCGGGCCTCTCACTGTTGTGGCCTCTCCTGTTGCAGAGCACAGGCTCCGGACGCGCAGGCTCAGCGGCCATGGCTCCCGGGCCCAGCCGCTCCGCGGCATGTGGGATCCTCCCAGACCAGGGCACGAACCCGTGTCCCCTGCAACGGCAGGCAGACTCTCAACCACTGTGCCACCAGGGAAGCCCAACATTAATGTTTATAATGATATCATGGGGGATTAAAGATGGGCATATATCCCCATTGAGAGGTAGGGTATATGTCCCCTCCCTTTGAATCTGAGCTGGCCAGTGACTGCTTTGGTCAATAGAGTACAGCGGAAGTGATACTGTGCCAGTGTCTGGCATAGCCTTTAAGAGGAGTAGAAATTTCCACCCTGGTCTCTAGAGCCCTACACTGCCATATAAGTCTGTCTAACCCTGAGGTGCCATGCTGGAATACCCGTGTGAAGAAAGGAGAGAAGAAGGGAGGAGGGAAGGGGAGGAGAGAGAGGGGAAGGAGAAGGAAGGGAAGGGGATGGAGAGAAGGGAGGAGAGCCGCTCAGCCAGTCCCCAGCTGTTCTAAACCTCAACCAGCTGGGTCATCCGGATATTGCGAAGCAGAGAGGCAAACCTCCCTTCTGTGCCTTGTTTAAATTGCTGATCCTCAGAATTGGGAGATATAATAATAATAATAAATTGCTATTTTAAGCGACTAGATTTTGGGACAGTTTTAACCTACTCTAACCAACTATTACTTTAATTCATAAATGCAAATACAGATTACATGAAATAAAGAAATTAAGTACATATGTTGTATTTTAAGACTAGGTCTAATAGGTTACTTGTGCAAAATTAAAGTGAGCTTAAGCACACATATTTTTATATTTTTGAAATTAGTCATATATTTAATATTAAGATTTAGAACTTTTAAAAAGTCATTAAAATTGAAAAAATAGTGTTAATTAATCCACTACAGTATAATTAGCAAGAATAACACAGATAATTTAAGTTGCTGGAAAAAAATGAAGATCCTTCTTATGTTTTATATCAATAGAAAAATATGATGCCAATAAAATGACCAAAAACAATAAAAAGATACAGTCAGCTCTATGTCTTGGACCCAAACAATCCGAAAGCATCTGTCAGGGGACCCACACAAAAGCCATATGATCTGTGCAAGAGTAAGAATTCACTGGGCTGTTTCCGGGAGACACAGATTCTTGGTTTCAGAGCTCCTGAGCTGTTCGCTTACTGTGCCAGAACAGCTCACTTCCCACAGCGTATATTTTAGTATCTCAGCAACTGAGGCCCGAAAGCGTGCTTGGAACTTCTTACTAATAAAGACATAAAGAATGGGGTTCAAGCAACTATTGAGGAATGCCAAGCCAGTGGAGAGGGGGATTCCGGCCTGCAGCACCTGGTGGAAATAGCTATTGTGGTGAATCGTGAGCTCCCAAATGCTGAACAGGTGATAAGGAGTCCAGCAAATCAAAAAGGCAATGACCACAGCCAGGATGGTCCAGAAGTGCTTACTGTAGATCAGGATGCTTCGCTTCTTCACCTTGAAGATGAGGCACAAGTAGCAAATGCTCATTGTTAGAAGAGGGAAGAGGTACCCAACAATAACTTTCACCCAGGTCAGAATATGATGCCTCATCCACGTGAGGTCAGGATCATGCTCGTGGAAGTTGTTATAGCAAAGAGTGTGGTTATTGAACTCCAGAGTGTCCCGGAAAAACAGGGCGGGACCACCCATTAGTGAAGCCAAAAGCCAAACAACTATAATAACAATCAGAGAGTTCCTTAGGGTCCGGTACCGATGAGATAAGACAGGGTGGATCAAGTAGATATAGCGGTCCAGGCTTATCACCATCAGGAAGAAAACACTGGCAAACATGTTCAACTGGGCAATGAAGGAATTGGCCTTGCACAACCAGATGCCAAAGGGCCAGTGGAAATTCATGGCCACATAGGAGATGTACAGGGGCAAGAAGAGAAGAAAAATGAAATCTGCGATGGCTAGATTGAGGAACCAGAGAGTGGTGACTGTCTTCTTCCACTTGAATCCCGTAAACCAAATGACAAGGGCATTTCCTGGAATGCCCAGAACAAATGCCAAACAGTATAACACGAGGGAGACCCAGTGAATGACTCCTAGGTGTGCTCTCTCCTCCAAATCAGTCTCTGGGGAGTAATATTCCAGGGCATAGGAGTAGTTCTCAAAGTCTTCAAATAATGTTTCCTCTAGATCTTCCATGACCTTGCTAAATGCAGAATGAAGAAATCTATGGAAGCAAATTTAAAAAGAAAGAAAACAATTTTTAAAAGAACAAATGTTTAGTGAATGATACAGAACATAAGGATAAAAATATTTTATCTTAATAGACACTAATAACAATTTAGGACCAAAAGGGGGACGTAACCACAGAAGTAGAGGTTTTTTTAAATGAGAGGAAGCTATGAAAAAAATACTTATTTGAAATATTTGGCAAAATGTTTCCTAGAAAAAAATGTACTCTTCCAAAGTGGACACAAGCAGAAACAAAACCTGAATAGACTTACAACCATTAAAGAAATATCATATGTTAAAAAAATGTTTTTCATCTTATGAACTAGTATGTTAAAAAATGTTTTTCATCTTATGAACTATTTCATCTTATGAAATAGTATATTTCTTGGTAGGACTTGTGATTAACACTCCAGGTGTCCAAGTCTCAGTGGACCTAAGTTTTGCTATAATTATTCTCAAAGCTGTGAGAGTTTATTTTTGTAAAGTATTCAGTAAGTGCTAAATAAAATGATTGACTCTATAGGTACAATTCCTATGTTCATAATGCTTGTAGGGCTGACTAGAGAGAATCTAACATTCAACAAATATTTACTAAGTTCTTACCAGGCATTATTTTATGGAAGACGCAAAAGAAAACAGATGAATACTTATGTGGTGATGACTTCAAAATCCTTATTTGTACCCTGACTTCTTAAGATCTAGACAGAGTTCCAATTGCTTCTTTGGCTTATCCACCTGGATGTCACGGGCAAGCACTGGAGATTTTGACCCACTGTTTTGCACCCATGGATGTTTTGATTCTAGGTTTATAAATTCAAATATGTTCATCAGAATTATATCAATATGGAAGGCTTTTCAACTACAAGATATATTTTGGAATGAACTTGACTATGACCACTTAATTTCTATATTAATTTCTTATAGAGTGCAGTTAAACTTTATTTAAATTTTTTATTTTCCTGAAATTTCTTTGTTTTGAATTAATTCAAAGTAATTCTTTTCTACATTACAACAAAGATTTGATTTATTAATCAGTTGTATTTTGTTTATTTTTATTTTTTTATTTTTTGTGGTACGCGGGCCTCTCACTGCTGTGGCCTCTCCCCTTGCGGAGCACAGGCTCCGAATGCGCAGGCTCAGCGGCCATGGCCCATGGGCCTAGCCGCTCCGCGGCATGTGGGATCTTCCCGGACCGGGGCACGAACCCGTGTCCCCTGCATCGGCAGGCGGACTCTCAACCACTGCGCCACCAGGGAAGCCCTTCATTTTTTTAACATCTTTATTGGAGTATAATTGCTTTACAATGGTGTGTTAGTTTCTGCTGTATAACAAAGTGAATCAGCTATACATATACATATATCCCCATATCTTCTCCCTCTTGCGTCTCCCTCCCACACTCCCTATCTCACCCCTATTTTGTTTATTTTTATCCATACCAAATGTTATCTATTATAATTTCATGCAAAGTAAGTTTTCTTTTGTGGCCTTTTTGTTTTTTTCCCCTGCTATCCAGTCCAGTTTCCTGCGTTAAGAAGACTTGAATGCCAATTTTTCAACCAAAAATGTTTACTGGGTGTAAATATAGCTTCATCAATTTATTTTGTGTTATTTCTATCTGTAGTATTCAAAATCAAGTAGAAAAAAGACTAATAGTTATATTCATTTCATGGAGCTCTAATCATTAATGGGGCAAATATGTAAGATTTGAGATTATAGTAGGGTTAGAACAAAGAGGTCAAAACATCTTGTGTTGCTCACAGCCAGCTCAGACTCAATTTGACTAACACTAAATTCATCATCCTGCCTAAAATCATTTGAGGAATCTAGCAGAGCATAGTTAAAAACAAAAGCACTTCATTAGCATTCTCCCAACCCCAGACCCAGCTAACCTCTCTTTATTTTTCAACATTCAGCTCAAATGCCACCTTTTCTTGGAAACATTTTCTGACATTACCTTCCCCCGTATAATTATAATACATACTAACAACTGTTATTACACACAATAGTCAATGCTATTGGGAATTTACTAGATGCCAGGCATGTATGATCTAATTTGACCCTTGAAAGAATCATATAAAGTGGATAAGTACTATTGTTATTTCCATCTCCAAGAAAAAATACTGAAGCTTCAAGAAGCTTAGTGACTTTCCCAGTTTCACGCAACCTATAATTGGAGAGTCAAGATTAAATTCAAATCTGTTGAACCCAGATCCTGGGCTCTTAACCACTACGACATTCCCCTCTTCTGCCGTACTTCTCTTATTGTACTTAATACACTATACTGTCATTGATTTCTCTTTGATTCCTGCCCTACCAAACTGTGAACTCCTTGAGAATGACTGTCATCTCGGTAACCCACAGTGCCTAGTACAGGTCTTAACATCTCACAGGTGCTCAACATGTGCTCAGTAAATAATTGGCTCTGCTAGAAAGCCTGTTCAGAACCAAATGTAATTTTAAAGCCTCAGGTGAGAGTTTGTGAGTTCACCCCTAAGTTACTCTCATTGCCAGAATCTCTCTGGCCTTGACCCACAGTTCTACCCTCAAGATCTAGACTTGTTCCTTGTCTTTGAGTCCTTTCCTTCATGTGTCCAAGACTGGCTTCTTGCCCGCTACCCTTTTCTTTCAGGTCTGGGACCTTACTCTGCCCTCTTCACTCCTTCTGGTAGCTGAAGCCCCTCCATGTCAAATCCTTTCCAGCCTAATCTCCAACTCCAACTGTATACTAAGGCACTCTTACCTTCCTGGTGCCTATGACCTATTCTTTTAGACTATGAGCAATTCTGAGGTCAAATGGCCCTAAATCACCTTACAAAACCCTAAGCAGTGAGTAGATGGAACTTGATTCCCCAAATATAGAAAAGCCAGTGGAGGACTTCTAATTACACAAAACCACTATCAGCAAGTCAGGAGCTTACAAAGTCATTGCTGACTGTGCTGAGCCGGAATGGTCGCAGGGCCTGCTGAAGGATTCCAACCACCCCTCATCCCGTTTCTCTTGGGGCAGGGGGAGGTACCTTGAGGATGACTGATTTTTCTGAACAGAATCCCTTCAAACAGAAACCCTTGTTCCAGAGAAATTCCTAATCTTCCAGAAAGCACATGAGTAGGTTAGATGCAATGAACGGTTCAGGCTTGGAGAAAGATCTTCAAGAGGAGCTGAATACTGTGTGGAGAAAAGGGAACCCTCCTGCACTGTTGGTGGGAATGTAGATTGATGCAGCCACTATGGAGAACAGTAAGGAGGTTCCTTAAAAAAACTAAAAATAGAACTACCATATGACCCAGCAATCCCACTACTGGGCATATACCCAGAGAAAACCACAATTCAAAAAGAGTCATGTACCACAATGTTCACTGCAGCACTATTTACAATAGCCAGGTCATGGACGCTACCTAAATGCCCACTGACAGAAGAATGGATAAAGAAGGTGTGGTACATATATACAATGGAATATTACTCAGCCATAAAAAGGAACAAAGTTGGGTCATTTGTAGAGACATGGATGGACTTAGAGACTGTCATACAGAGTGAAGTAAGTCAGAAAGAGAAAAACAAATATCGTGTATTAATACATATATGTGGAATCTAGAAAAATGGTACAGATGAACTGGTTTGCAAGGCAGAAATAGAGACACAGATGTAGAGAACAAACATATGGACACCAAGGGGGAAAGCAGCGGGTGGTGGGGGTGGGGGTGGGATGAATTGGGAGATTGGGATTGACATGTATACACTGATGTGTATAAAATGGATAACTAATAAGAACCTGCTGTATAAAAAAAATAAAATAAAATTCAAAAAAAATTGCAATAAATGCAGCTTTTTACAGCATTATACAAAATAAAAAATAAAAAAAATAAAAAGAGGAGCTGAATACTGCCCAGCTGAATCCTTCACAACAAATATAAGCTAGGAATTCCCCTCGGACTTGAGTAGATGTTTTTGTGTGCTGGTGATGGTGAGAGGGAGGGGTGGGATGAAGAAAAGTGAGAAGTAAGACAGAATTCAGCAACTATCCTACCAAACCCTTGGCTAGAGGCAGTTAACCCTTGAGGGCATATTCTTGCTTAATTATTGTACCTTGTTTGTATATTGCTTTGTAGTTTATAGGCACCTCCAGATAGAATTTCCAAACCTTACTTAGACCTACCCAAATACTAGAGACTAACTAACTGTATTAGTTTCCCAGGGCTACTGTAACAAAGTACTCTAAAGTGGATAGCTTAAAATAACAAAGTTATTGTTTCAAAGTCTGGAGAAAACTGAAATCAAGGTGTAGGCAGGGTTGTTTCCTTCTGAGGGCTGTCAGTGAGAATTTGTTCCACGCTTCTTGTCTAGATTCCAGTGGTTTGTTGGCAAACTTTGGCAGTTCTTGGCTTGTACATGCAACAAGATGTTTTGACCTCTTCGTTCTATGCCAGAGTCTCGGGCCTTCCCCTACCCTCTTTCTCTTCTTCTCATTGGCTGAATGAGGATGCAGTGATGAGCCATCATGCACCAGGCGGATAAGGAAAACATGATTGTTCACAAGATAGAAGCTTGGGTCCCTGGATGACCTCATGGAGCAGAGCTGCCCTGCTTCTCTGAACCATGTCCTTCTGGATTACTAAGTGAGAAAATATTTCCCCCACTATTCTTTTAAAGCAGCTGAACCTGTATCCTGGCTAATATACCTTCTCTAGGCTTTGACTTTAAGCACTGTGGTGGAGACTTGTCAGTGCTCACCTCCTATGAAAGATGTTATAAGAAACCCTTGAGGTGGGAACTATTCCTAACAATCGTCACGGCTTCCGGAAGAAAGAGAGGGGAGCTTCCCTTAGGGAGAGGAGAAAGAGGGAAAACCTGGCTTTGTAAGGAGGATCTCTTTTACCCCAGCAATGGTCAGGGAGCCATTTAACGAACATGCTTTTTAGCCATCAAAAGAGAATGTGAGAGAGTTTTTGCAGTTGATTCAATTGATTACGGTGGGCTGGTAAGACTCCTGCTTTGTA